CTGAATGTTTGTGTTGGCCTCCAAATCCACAAGTGATGGTAAGCCACAATGGGATGATATTTGAGGTGGTGCCTTTGGGAGGTAATCAGGCTTAGATGAGGTTATGAGGGCAGGGCTCCCTTGATAAGATTGGTGTTCTTGTAAGAGGGGAGAGAGGGACACCTGGGTGGCCAGGTCATGATCTCAGGGTCCTGGGAATGGGCCCCAGGTCTGGCTCCCTGCTCAGCAGGGAGTCCGCTTCTCCCTCTCCCTCTGCCCCTCCCCCCTTGCTCACAAGTGTGCAATGTGGATAATACTTGCCTTGTGTGGTTGTGGTGTGATTTATTTATTTCATCAGTGTCAAACCTCTTGCGTTGAGTGTAGGCACAGAGTAGGAACTCAGGAAATGTTCGCTTCCTTTTTTCCTTACTTGTTGAGTCATGAATGTAAAGGACAGTTTACATTTAGCAGACCCTTTAGCTCAAAGAAAAAAGCTAAAATGGAAGAATTTCAAGCATCAATCTGTGAGTTGAGAAGACATTTGGGGGTAGGGAGGAACATTTGGGGACCGAAGACCTTGATGTCTCACCTTGTACACAAGGGGATTGTGGGCACGGGTCACTGCCATCACCCCAAAACAAGAAAAATGCGTTGTGAGACTCAGCACACTTCCTGCACATGCACACATGCATTTGCCCCGGACCAGGATTTGCTCTGGACTGCTCCACACAACACTCCCCTCCTGATTTTTTCTCTACTCCACTGTGCTGGAATCTTCTGTTGCTGGTATAGATCCAATCTCCACTCTTTTCTGTCCTGCTCTACGCCCCTAGGAGGTTGGGCTATCCCTTGTCCTTCGTCTTCCAGCTGGATTAGGCTGGTAGGGAGTCAGGCAGGAAAGTAGAGGGCTGGAGGTCAGAGAGGCGTGAGTTTCTGTTCCCTAGCTCCCTCCCTGTGCCTGGCGAGGACTGAAGGTGACAGCTCTGGTGTGGCTCCTCCACACAGTGAGCCTGGGCTTGTGCTTGCAAGTGCACACTCTTGAGTGCTCGCTCTTTCTCTCCGGATTTCAGTACCCACACCTTCCCCTTGTTCCTTCAGGCCCCATTTCAGCCCCAGATACTACAGTTTACCTTATGGTTTCCCTACCTCCAGCCCACACCTTTGTAAACCATCCTTTTATCAAATTCTCTTCAAATGACCCAATTTGAGTGACCCTAACTGATATCTCCAAGGGCTGGTTAGGTCCAAGTAACTGGTCTCCCACTGATCCTGCTCTTCAGTTGCCACCAGAAGCTCTCTGCTGTGTTGCTCTCCTGAGCAGCACACACAACCTCCTCAGGTGGACACACCCAGAGCCACCCAGGAGAGGGCGACTGTGAGCAAATCCCAGGTGGCCACTCCCAGCGCTCGCCAGCCCCAGGGTCTGGTTCCCACATGGGAAGAAGATGATTTTAAGCCTGAGAACCTGCTCTTGAGGTCCTTTTAAAGACTGCAGACCCTGCTCTGAGCCACTAGAATTTTTTGTAATCTCTTGAGCCTAGAAACCATATTAAAATGTTAAATTCGCCATTGGGAATTGTTAAAAGGAACGAGAAGCCCAAAATGGAGTCATTTGTCCCCAACCACAGCAAACCAAGACCTCATTGCACTTTGAACCTCTCCCAGGAATGTGACCTTTTAACAGTCAAGCTGAAATTTCCTGATCCGCTCTGGTAAGGTAATCCACATGGGAAGAACCCTGCCATCCCTTCCCCCTCAAAAAGAAGATGTAACCGTCCTTTCCTTTGCTAATAATGTCCTTGCCCTATCCTCCTTCCTATAAAAACCCTCCATTTTGTACAACTCCTAGGAGCATCCCTCTACTTGCTAGGTGCTGCCCAATTCCGAAATCACTTCACAAAGCCAGTTAGATCTTCAAATTCACTCGGTAGAATTTTGTTTTTTAACAGACTCCTTCACGTTAGCTCATGTGACCTCCACGCTGTGTCTTCGGGCTCCCCAGCATTCAGCCCCTTCGTGCTCATGGGCCGTGACACCATGACTCTCACTTCTGCTTTGCCTCCGATTACAAATGGCAAAGCCATTTCTCACAGTAAGATGTTTCTTTTCGATGATAGTCTGTTTATCCTCTAGTCAGTGGAGAATCTGCCTGTTTTCTTTAACGTGTCTTTTTTTTTTTTTTTTGGTACCTTTTGACCCCCTTCACCCATTCCTGCCCACCCCTGCTCTGCCTCTGGCAATCACCAATCTGTTCTCTGTATCTATGAGCTTTTTTTTGGTTTTGTTTTGAAAGTGTCTTTTTTAAACGGTTGAATCTTGATCTGGGACAGGAAGTATATAGGAAGCCCTTATTGTACAAGAAAACACAGTAGTCTCCAGAGGCCATGGGGCCATGGCCACAGGATGCGCTAGCTAATGTGAAGGACTCCCAGTGGTGAAGGGGGAATATTTTCAGCATCAAATAACATTAGGAATGGATTAAAACTAACACACGGGTCACTTTTCTCCCACTGCCTAGGCCCTTCAAACTCCTCCCTAACGAGGGGCTTCCTAAAACAGCCTGTATTGTGTGTGACTTAGAGAATCTGAAAGCATTTCTCACTCTTGTGGTGCCTGCTGCTTCCTCTCCAAGCAGCCACTCCTGGAGACCCTCAGTCGGCACTCTTTCCCTACACTGGTCCAGCTCAGCAGAGATGTGTTGAGACAAACACTGGGGAGGGCCAGTGCCTGCTTAAGGACTAGACCTGTGGGCCTGGTTGGCTACCCTGAGAAATTCCACTTGCTTAAGATGATGAAATTGGTCCATTGTCCCTCCCTGCCTACAGTTGAGTAGAGCAAGATGGGATGGAAACTTCTCCAACCTGTGTGCGAAGATCATTGCGAGTGTTGAGCTAAGCGGGTGCCTTCCCTGGAAGCTCAGCTCTAACCAAACAAGCACATCCAATAAGGCATCTGAACAACCCCCCTTTCAAACCAGTTCCTCCTAAGGCAGGAGGATGAGCCCCTTTGTTTTCCAGTGTGTTGACAAAAGGGCAGGCCTGGAAGGGAGGGGAGACCAGGTCTTCTAGATTTGCCTCAAGTCTTTCATAGCTGTGTGATCTTGGACAAACCCCTGCCTCTCTCTAAGCCTCTGATTTTTGTTTTTTAAATAAGACAGTGGTAAATGAAAAAAAGATGTGGAGAGGTCTGCATATGAAAATTATAAGATTTTGACATAGAATGTTAGTATATCTTAGCTCAATTTGTAAAAACCTCAACTGAAGAAAATATATATGTAGGATCATTTGAAAGACATATTCCATTTATTCTTCCAGATCATTTTAGGTTTTTTTAAATCTTTAGCCAGGACAGACTTTTAAGAAAATGGAGTTTAAAATTATAAGAATTATGGAATAATTTTGGAATTTTTTTGACCTTAGTGCCAATGAAAAGCTTTCTTTCCTTAAAAGCTTTCCTTATGAGTTTTTACCTCATAAATATGAATGAATGAATGAATGAATGAATGAATGAATAAGACCGTGATGAATGTTGTCCCGGATGACCTATTGTGTACGTCGCCAGAGCTAAAGTTTGATGATTGTATGGTTTTCTGGGAGGAAGTTTCTGAGAACTTTAGGATTGCCTTCATTACTGCCTCATTCTAGAGTAGCACTGTCCAATAGAAATATGTTATGATCCATATACATATATATTATATACATATAATTTCTTATAATTCAACCTAAAAAAGTAAAAAGAAACAGGTATCATTAATTTTAGTATTTTACTTATTAAAAATGTTATTTCAACATGTCATCCACATAAATTGAGATATTTTACATTTTTCATGCCAAGTCTTTGAAATCTATGTATTTTACACTTGTAAATATGAACTAGCCATATTTCAATTGCTTCATAGACACAGGAGGCCAGCATCAATAGTAGGCAGTGGATGCCTAGAGATTAGCTCAGGAATGCCCAAACCCAGCCAGTCTTCCTGTCCTGGAGCCCCTTCTCAAACTCCACAGCCTCCAGCTGGGTTGGTTTCTGAAAAAACCTAATCATGTCACTCCCCAGCTTAAGAGACCTCTGATATTTCCTACCCTCCTAGGACAAAGTCTGAACACCCTGGCACTTTAAAAGACCCTTCACCATTCGACCCCATCTTCTCTTTTAAACTGTTCTCCTGTCTCCTCTCCCTTTGCATGATGTGGCGCAATGACAGAAACTGTTCTCTCACCCAACGGGCTTTTCTGCCCTCCTGGCATTTTTCTGTCCCCATTTGTTGAGCTCCTTGAAGACTCGTTCATTCGTTCGTCCAAGGAGTGCCCTACTAAATGTCAGGCGGCGTGTGGACCCGTGTAGCCAACTCAAAGGGCCACAAGGAACCTCGCTGGCCAACTCGTAGCCCCCCATACCCCAACCACCACCGACGTCCAACCCCTGTCAGCTCCACCTCGGCTCTAGCGTTAGCCCTCATCACCCGGCTGGGCGGCTTGTTGACGCGTCCTCCCACACGGTCCCCCAAGCCATGGAACGCCCATTCTTGGTTCTTTTTTCACACCGTGAAGCCTCAAAAAACCGATGAGGGGTGAATAACCAATCACCCCCCACTTTCACATCGGAGGAACTAAAGCACGGTACAAGGAGGGTTGAGGGGATCATCCCGCCCTAAGTCCTCCTGAAGAAACGAGGCCTTCCCCAAGGGCCGACACCGCTTAGGAACCCCACACAGCCCTGACACACCGCCCGGACCCCGCGAAGCGTCAAGCCACGCAAGCCCCGGGCCCCCGCCCGCACCCCGCCGTGGCCAGCGTGGCGGGGAGGGACCCGCGAGCGAAAGGGGCGGGCCCAAGAGGGGCGGTGCCCGCACCCGCGCGCAGGAGACGGTCGGAAGGGCGCCTCCGCCCGGAGCTGCGGAGGAACGCACGTACGGGTAGCCGTGCGGAGGCGGGTGCGGCAGCTGCGCGGCTGCAACTACAAATCCCAGGGGGCCCCGAGGCGCAGAGGCGGAAGGGGTGGGCGGGGCGGGGCGAAGCGGGAGGGGCCGGAGTGGCCGGAGGGCCACGCTCCGGCTGCAGGCGCAGCGCGCGGGAGACCATGTCCGGGGGCAGCAGCTGTAGCCAGACCCCAAGCCGGGCCATCCCCGCCACTCGCCGGGTGATCCTCGGCGATGGCGTGCAGCTTCCGCCCGGGGACTACAGCACCACCCCCGGCGGCACGCTCTTCAGCACCACCCCGGGAGGTAGGGGCGGGCTCCGGTGCGGGCGGTGCGGAGGACTGACTGAGCAGAGCCGGAGGGGTCGGGAGCCGCCTGTTGTACGGGGCGACCGGGCTGAGGGGCGCGGTGACTGGAATAAAGGCATCAGGGAGGCAGCGACGGTCACGGAGGTGGCCCCCGGCAGCCAACAGATGGCCGCTTCCCACTGCCTGTCCTCTGGATGCGTGCTCCCGAGCCCGGGCTGCAACCTGCTCCATTAGTTTCCTCCCCCTGGGAGAGACAGCGGAGTACCCCTACCCAAACAGATACGCACGCTTCCAGAACGACCACATGCCGAGGTGTGCTGCCCCTTGTGGGCATGGGGGCGTTCTGAGGCAGAATAGCGTAGGGTCAGTGTGGCCTGGGAGCTAGGAGAGGCCTGGCCTGGGGTTTTTAGGGGATGGGATGGGCGTTCTCTGTTGCAGAATCCCTTTTCCTTCCCGACGTACCCCCAGTTTTGCATTGGGCCAGCACCCTCTGACCGAGGATTTGGGCTGAGGGCGCTCGCCTGCTCCAGCAGCGCCTCACCTGCACCCGTGGCAGGTTGCGCATTTACGCGTATGGGATCTCCGCAGAGGGACCTGGGGCCGCGGGCAGGGCTGTGCAGAAAAACACGTTCTTCTGTCCAGGGGGGGAGGGGGAACCGTATGACCTCCCTGAGAGTGTATGAGGAAGAGGAAGCTGAGCTGGCACGGGTGGGGGCCAGCCTTGGGCTGCCCTCGGGAGCCAGGCATTCCCTCCCAGCCCGGGAGCCCCGGCGCACAGGCGCTGATGAAACCTGCCAGCCCGTTTGCATGATGAAATCCTCGTGGCTCACCACTTCCCTACCATCCTCGCGCTGCCCTCACCCCGCTTTGCCCTTCTCCCCTCCCCTCCACCCTCCTCCACCGCCCCGGCCCAAAGCTGCAGATAGTGGCGCTCGGTTGAGAGGCAGGGGTGCAGGTCGTGGCGGGCAGAGCGGCAGCCTCCTCCCTTGCCAGCGTCGGGGGCCACATGCTTATGTTCTCAGGCAGCGGCCCCACCACCGGCAAACACTGCCAGATCCGAGGTGTGAGCCGTTTGATCCAAAACATACAACTGTTAAGGATCATTAGATGTACTTGTTTTATCGGGGCTCCAAACTTGAAAACACATGTCCCTTGTCCAACGTCACACGGTTTTCTCAGATTGAACAAGAAATCGTATCCAAGCATGGGGGGGGGATCTCTCTTCTATTAAAAATGATCAAAGGAAAAGTTCTTGGTGAGCCTTCGCCACCCTTGACTCAAATTCTGTTTTCCTGCTGTATAGGTCTTTGTAGTCCTCTTGGTGGGCTTTCTCTGTGTCATGCTGTGTCTACCAGAATCTTTCCTGACAATTTTGGGGTTCCTTCAAGTAAGGGTGTGAATCTCTACTTGATCATTTTTAGGTTGGGCACTGAGGCAGGTCTGAAGGCTCAGGTTCTGTTTTTTGCACCCTTTGTTGCTGGATGGGGACAGGTCAGATTGGAAGCCATGGCCAGGGTTACTGTTTGTAGGGAACTCTGATCCACTTCTCACCATAGACTGGGAAATGGGTTTTTGGTTTTGTTTTGTTTTGTTTTTTGGTAAACCAGAACAAATTTCCCTGCCTTTGAAGGTCTTTAGTTGGGAGAGAGGGAAAGGGACACCTGGACCAGAGTGTAACTTTATTTCTGAGGCCAACTGGAAGAAAGCTAGCCGTGCCAGGAGCCTAAAGCCAGCTTTCTTGTCTGGAGTGTCCAGCGCGACAGGGACAGCTCACAGTCCATAACCTGGAAAATCACACCTTGCTTCTGCTAACGTCAGCGAGTCTGGTCTGCCTCAGTTAGCCAGGGCTTGGAGTCTTCCTCCAAAGCCCAACCTCACCCTACCTCTTTGCCAAGGCAAAGAGGCTTCACCTAAGAAAAGGTCATTTCTGGCACCCTTTTGCTCCAGCCTAGAGTGCTGTTTCTCATTCCTCAATGTACATATGAATTACCTGGGGACCTCACTTAAATGCAGACTCTGATTCTGTAGGTTCTGGGTTTGGGCCTGAGAGGCTACATTTCTTTCTTTTTTTTTTTAAGATTTTATTTATTTATTTGACACAGAGAGAGACAGTGAGAGAGACAGAGCACAAGCAGGGGGAGCAGCAGGCAGAGGGAGAGGGAGAAGCAGGCTCTCCGCTGAGCAGGGAACCCGATGCGGGACTCGATCCCAGGACCCTGGGATCATGACCCCAGCTGAAGGCAGCCACTTAACCGACTGAGCCACCCAGGCGCCCCGAGAGGCTACATTTCTAACCAGCTCCTAGTGATTAATCTAAGTACCACACTGAGTACTCAGAAATTAGTGGAATGTGACTTCTCCCACCTTTTCACACCTCTGGGGTCTGGCAAAAAGTGATGCTTCTAATCAGGTAAACTTCTCTTGAGGTTGGGGCATCAGCCTTCAAACCAGGGTCTGGAGAGAGTCTGTGCAGGTGCCTGCACTAGCTTATTTGCAGGTGTCAGGAGCGCCCGCAGTGTCCGCAGGTCACTCTTGCTGGGAATGGAACTGCCGTGTTTGTCCCCAGAGGAACAGGAACAGCAGCTGATTTGAGCCATCTCCATTCCTAAGACGCCAGTTTACTTTCCGTGGTCATTAACCTTTCACAAGCTAAATCACTGGTCTGGTTAGAAGTCTGGAGAACTTTAGAGAAATTTGTTAAAAGGAGTGTTGTGTATGAATATTTGAGCCTGTGGAGGCTTCAAAGTGACCGGTGACACCACACACCAGCAGAACCTTAGAATGGGTCAGAAATTCTGCTTCCACCCCCTCCCGTCAACCTTCATGTTCGCTGTCCCATGGTGGATGCTTGACCCCCAACCCTCCAGGGTTGCTTGGCTGGTAATCATACCCAAACCCAGTACCTGGATAAGGTTAATCAGAGGTAGGCAGGTAGGGCTACAGATGTTACTGGCACCCTGGTTTAGATAAACAAAGCCTGAGGCCGTGAAGCTTATCTTGGAGCAGCTCCCAAGTCTTTGGCTATGGAACAGACAGTGCTGGGAAGAGGAGGAAGTGGGCTGGGCACAAGCTAGAGCACAGCCCGTGTCGGGAGGCCTCAGTCACACAGGGGAAGATGTCTTCTGATTGCCCAGGGTCTCATTATTAAGGACAGGTTAAAAGAACTTGGACATTAAGGCAGTGAGGGAAATGTAATGGGCTCTCTTCTCACACTGTTCTGAGCTTCCTTTTAAAGCATTTAGAACATTCCACACTGCCCCTCATTAAAGACTTTGATGGGGGGGCCGAATGTAGAGCACCCCAAACTCTCTCTGATGCCCGTCAGCCTCCCTGGTTCTAAGGCATTCACCACATCCAGAACCGGGAGACAGTCTGACCTCAAGGGCTTGGCTTGCTACTTAGGAAGATGGAGACACACCTGAAACAGAAGCATCAAAGTTGTAGCCATAGAATGAAGCGATTAGGCAGACAGCCCCCACCCTCCGTAACCAGTAGAACTTGTATGGTTCTCACGTGAGAGTCACCTGCTCCAAGTCTTCAGCCTGCTAGGCCTTACTTGCTAACAGTGCACACATAGCTGTGAGATTTTTTTTTTTAAAGATTTTATTTATTTATTTGACAGAGACAGCAAGAGAGAGAACACAAGCAGGGGGGCAGTGGGAGAGGGAGAAGCAGGCTTCCTGCTGAGCAGGGAGCCTGATGCGGGGCTCGATCCCAGGACCCTGAGATCATGACCTGAGCCAAAGGCAGACACTTAACGACTGAGCCACCCAGGCGCCCCTAGTTGTGAGATTTTAATTGCCTTCCGAGGCTTACATTTTGTTGTTGTCTTACAATATCCTCAGAGGTAGGCAGGGCCTGATTTGAAAGAGGAGTTTGATTTTTTAACTTGCGTAATTTTTTCTGAAAGAGCAAAAAAATCCTTCATTACCAAATTTGGTAAAAGGACAGGCAGGGTGGTACCATGTCTGTCTGTTGGTGTAAAGCAGTGAGGCATTTTTTCGTATGGGTCTTTATTTGATATCCTTGCAGAGAAGGAATGATATGGGACAGCAGTATGGAAACGAGGATTGCTCCCCAGGGGGAAGTTTTGGTTTTTTGTTTTTTTTTTAAGATTTTATTTATTTATTTGACAGAGAGAAACACAGCGAAAGAGGGAACACAAGCAGGGGGAGTGGGAGAGGGAGAAGCAGGCTTCCCACTGAGCAGGGAGCCCGATGCGGGGCCGATCCCAGGACCCTGGGATCATGACCTGAGCCGAAGGCAGATGCGTAATGACTAAGCCACCCAGGCACCCCCCAGGGGGAAGGTTTTTAACGAAGAATGTTCATTTGTACACCTAGATTTTACATGTTCAAACAAACAGAAAACTCGTCACTTTCAGGTCTCAGAGCCACGCCCATGCTCTTCTCCCGTTATGATTCATGACAAATGAATCACGTGCATTTGTTTACATATTTGTTCCCTAGAGTAGAAGGGAAGTTCTTTCCCAGCAGCGTTACTCATCTTCCTATCTTGGCTTTTGAGTGCTGAGTCAGGTGTTTAGAAAGTGAGGAGTTGGGGCGTCTGGGTGGCTCAGTCGGTTAAGCGTCTTCCTTCAACTCAGGTCAGGATTCCAGGGTCCTGGGATTGAGCCCCACATTGGGCTCCCCGCTCAGCTGGGTGTTTGCTTCTCCCTCTCCCTCTGCCGCCCCACCTGCTTGTGTGCTCTCTCTCTCTCGCTTTCTCTGTGTCAAATAAAATCTTAAAAAAAAAAGGAAGAAAATGAAGAGTTGAAAAGACTCCTAGAATGACAGTATTCTCAGGGTAACCTGGCTCTTTTACCACCAGGCCTGGGTCTGAACTGGCTTAATGATAACATTCAAATTTTTCTTTTCTGCCCTTTTAGCTGCAGGGTATATATAATTGCTTACCTTGAAATGTCCCAGGGATAGAACTAACTTTCCCTGAACTTTCTCACTTATCCCAGTATTACAAATAACAGTATTTCTAATACTA